CCCCCCCCGTCTCCCCCAGACTGAAAGGCTCATTCATGCCGAACAAAGATGCCCTTGGCCGGGCGCCTTCTCTGCCAGAGAGAGGGAACCGCCACTGGCGGCGGCGGCTGCTGCTGCTGCTGCTGCTTCTCAGGAGGGGCTGGCACTCACACACGCACACACACCCAGCCCATGGATGCAGCACCTGAGAGCAGAAGGCACCCGAACCCTCCGCTCAGACGGGTCTGTCCCGCTCGTGGCGTGGGCCCCCCCAGTCCCCACCGGCTGGCACAGATGTGGACCCTCCTTTTGCAGAGGCTCCTGGCAGATGGTGGCCCTTCAGAGGCAGGGCTGGCCCCATGGCCTGGGCACACTGCTGCAGCAGCAGTCCTACCCAGCCCCCCAGGTTAGGGGTGCCAACCTCCAGGTGGCACCTGGAGATCTCCCGCTATTACTGTGGATCCCTAGACGACCAAGATCAGTTTCTCCTGGAGCAAATGGCTGCGTTGGAGGGTGGACTCTGTCCCTCCCCTCCCCAAACCCCACCCTCCTCAGGCTCCGCCCCCAAAATCTCCAGGTGTTTTCCAACCCAGAGCTGGGAACCCTACTCCAGACGGAAGCCGAGCGCGACCCCGGGGAGAGGAGCTCCCGTTCAGAAGCCTGCTCTGCCATGGTCACAGGCCACCTTCGCCCTTGCACAGGGGGCCGCCTCTGAACTGGGCTGCAATGACCTGCCACGCAGAGCCCTGTGAAGGAATCCCGTAGAAAAAATGGTGTGGCCTTTATAGTCAACAAGAGAGTGCAAAAGTCAGTACTGGGATACAATCTCAAAAATGACAGAATGATTTCGGTCCGATTCCAAGGCAAACCATTCAACATCACAGTAATCCAAGCCTATGCCCAAACCACTGATGCAGAAGAGGCTGAAGTGGACCGGTTCTATGAAGACCTACAACACCTCCTAGAACTAACACCAAAAAATGATGTCCTCCTCATCATAGGGGACTGGAATGCTAAAGTAGGAAGTCAAAAGGTAACCGGAATAACAGACAAGTTTGGCCTTGGAAAGCAAAATGAAGCAGGGCAAAGTTTAACAGAGTTTTGTCAAGAGAACACACTGGTCATAGCGAACACCCTTTTCCAACAACCTAAGAGGCGACTCTACACATGGACATCACCAGATGGGCAACACCGAAATCAGATTGACTATATAATTTGCAGTCAAAGATGGAGAAGCTCTATCCAGTCAGTAAAAACAAGACCTGGTGCTGACTGTGGTTCAGATCATGAACTACTCATTGCAAAATTCAGACTTAAAATGAAGAAAATTGGGAAAACCACGAGGCCATTCAGGTTTGACCTAGATCGCATCCCTGATGAATATACAGTAGAGGTGAAGAATAGATTCAAGGGTCTGGATTTGATAGATAGAGTGCCTGAAGAACTATGGACGGAGGTTCGTGACATTGTACAGGAGGCAGCAATCACCACCATCCCAAAGAAAAAGAAATGCAAGAAAGCAAAGTGGCTGTCTGATGAGGCTTTACAAATAGCAGAGGAAAGAAGGAAAGCGAAAGGCAAAGGTGAAAAGGAAAGATTTACCCAACTGAATGCAGATTTCCAGAGAACAGCAAGGAGAGATAAGGAGGCCTTCCTGAATGAACAGTGCAAAGTCATAGAGGAAAACAATAGAATGGGAAGGACTAGAGATCTCTTCAAGAAAATTGGAGAAATCAAGGAAGCGTTCCGTGCAAAGCTGGCCATGATAAAGGACAAAAACGGTAGGGACCTAACAGAAGCAGAAGAGATTAGGAAAAGATGGCAAGAATACACAGAAGAACTATACAAGAAAGACCTCGATGTCCTTGACAACCACAATGGTATAATCACTGACCTCGAGCCAGACATGTCCGAGATCCGCCTCCCTGGAGGAAACGGCAGCCACTTCAGGGGGCAAACTCTTCCATGGCAAATTCTCGGTTAAATCCCCCCCCCCCGTGAATCCCCCCCCCAAGCCTCCAAGCGTTTCCCCTGCTGCAGCTGGCAAGCCTGGCCCCAGAGAGGGAGGGTCAGACCACCCACCTCGTGGGGCTGGCGACCCATGGGAGATAGACACTTGCCAACCTGGAAAAAATCTTAAGTGACAACAAACAACGGAGAGGGGGTGAAATAAAGCTGGAAAAAACCACAGCGCCCTGATCTTGTAAAAAAAGAATACCCGACAAGACCTCGGCAGCCATTTTTGGGGTGTGGTTGTCCAGGCCGCCCAAGATGGCTGCCGCCATTTCACTTTGGAAGAGGGGGAGTGAGAGGGGTGGGGGAGAAGCCGGCAGGGAGCCTCTTGGGTCACCCGGGGCCAGCCACTCTCTCTCAGACCAATCCGCACCACAAGGCTGTTGTGACATTAACGTGGCAGGGGGGAGAGCCACGGCGACTGCCCAGTTTAATTCCCCTTGCCTGAGCTGGGGGGGGGGACCCCAATGGATAGGGAAGAGAAAGCGCAATTGATGTGGGGGGGTTATGGGGGGGCAGTTAGCATACATGACTCTGTGTGAGACCATGGGTGGAAAATTCCATGCCACGGCTACCCCTTTTTTGGGCTGCCAACCTCCAGGTGGAGCCTGGAGATCCCCCCACAACTGAAACTGATTTCCAGATTACTGAGACCAGTTGCCAGGGAGGGCGGATTCTATGACCTTATACCCAGCCGAGACCCCTCCCCTCCCCAACCCCCGCCCTCCCTGGGTCTCACCCCCCCCCCCAGCCCGGCGTTGGCCACCCTGCCAACTTCCTCCCTTTTGCCGTGAACCCGGGTGTCGTTTCTTTGCCTCTTTTGCATGTCTGTAGAGCCGTGCCCGGTGGCCCGGGCTGGAGGGGCCACATGCTTGCCTGATTGGCCTGCCTGCCCCCCCTGTGCCTCCCCCCTTCCCAGAGGAAGCAAGACCTGCCCCCCCTTCAGATCACGGGAGCAGGACAAGTGCCCCCCCCCCCCCGTAGGCAGGCAGGGCACGGAGGGCACCGGAAGGCAAGGGCTGCCGCAGCCGCCTGGGCAGAGGCCTGGGTCCTGGGGAACCGCTGGGGGGGGGGCTGTGAGCGTGCCCCCCTGGGAAAGGGGGCCCGACCGGGCTTTGGCGTTCTGGTGGGAAAGTTGCCGGCCGAGGGAGGCCAGGCTCCCCATCCCCCGCTCCCTCCCGGGATGGTTGTCCGCCCTGCGGTGTTTCCCCAGTAACGGCAATTGTGTCGCCGCGAGCAAAGAGTTAATGTGTGCAGGCTTATTGTATTAGCCCGGGTGTGCTGAGGGGGTCAGCGGGGCAGAGGGGGCCAGGGAGGGAGGGTCTTTGCCGCGGGCAGGCAGGCAGGCTGGCCGGCAGGCAGGCAGGCAGACGCAGCCCACCGCACTTCCCCCCCCAGGGCAGCCCACCACTGGGCCTTGGACACCCAGGGCTCCCCGCGGAACCGGCCCAGAGGGAGGCCCTGGAGAGCGGCAGGTGGGGTGGGCTCCGTCTCGTGCCCCACACCCCTCATGCCCGGCACATGGTGACAAGCGCCAGCCTCGGAAGAGGACCACCAAGCTCCTCCTGGGCACTGGGCACTGACACGCCCCATCCCGAGCCCGCTCTGGGCAGGACAAGCGCTCCGGAAGAGGCACAGGAGCTCCTCCTGGCCCGGCCGGGCCTCCCCTCCTCCTGGCAGGAGCGGCACCGCGACTCACCCGCCCTGGCCCGCAGGGACAGACCGGCCACTGAGAGGAGAGCCGACCGCGTGGCCCCCCCACCCGGCCGGCCACCACCTCTGCGCAGACGGAGCTTCCCTGTGGCACCCTGAAGGTAACGGCACCGGCAGGGAGCAGAGAAGGGGCTGCCCACACGGAGGACGCCAGGGCAGACACGGCCCCGAGCACACAGCTGGACCGGCCGCCTGGCCCAAAGCAGTGCCAAGGGTGTGCGGAGGAGCCCTGGGCCCCCCCGGGGGGGGCAGCACACAGACCGGCCCAGGACTTGGCTTCCCTCTCCAGCCCACGCAAAGCCCGGGGGAGACTGGGGGGGGGTCTTGGGCACATGCCGGGTGGCATCTGTGGGCAGGGGGTGGCGGCTCTGGAAGGGACGCTCCGACGCCCACAGAGCCTTTGAGGCCGCTGGCGGACTGATGGGCTGAGCCGTCCATCTCTGTCTCCCCCCTTGGCCGGGCTGCGGGGACAGACAGATGGCTTCTCTTTCTGGTCTGCGGCTTGCTGGGGAGTTAATCTGGCGGCACAATGCGATGGCCGTTGGGAGCAGGTGTCTGGCTCGCCCGTGATTTGTGGCCTGGGATGTCTGGGGGAGAGAGAGAGAGGGCAGGCCCCTGCGGCGGCTACCACCGCTATGGCCGGCCGCCCCGACTCCTCTTCTGCCCGGCTCTGCCCCTGTGCTCGGGAAGGCAGGTCCAGTCCCAGCGGTGCCTGTTCAGTCGGCACAGCCGACGCCCGACCTGGACATGTCTCCGGCAGCCAGGAGGGGACGCCTCCCGTTGCCTGGCCGTCCTGCTGAGAGGCCAGGGGCTGGTGAAAGCACACAGACATCTTGCACCAAAACCTCCAGGGCACTTTCTGGCTTGCAGGGACGGGAGAAACACAGGTTTGCCCTGAAAACGCCCATACTCCGGACCGTTTGTGAGTGCAGCCATTCCCACCATCCCGCACTGCAGGGTGCAATGTCCCTCCGGGGGCTGGCCTTAGACAGGGCTGCCACCACACACCCCAGGTGGAGGGCTTTTGTTTTCTCTGGTGGTGGTGGTGCCTCGGCTCCCCGCTCTGGGCAGGGGATGGGTAATGCGGCTGCCGCTCGTCTGTTTCAGGCCGGGAACCCCTGAGCCCAGCCCCCCCTCTGCCCCCCCCACTGAGCCCCTTCTCGGCCCCTGGCCATGGGCAACTCGGGGGGCAGGCCCAGCTGCCTGGGGGTCAAGAGCCAGAAGGCAGAGGACTTCCTGAAGGACTCCTACCTCAAGGACGTGGGCCTGGATGCCGGGGCCCCCTCCGGGAGGAACAACGCGGAAGGCCACGCGGGCCCCCCGGAAAAGCCTCCCCTCGCCCCGGTGGTGATCGAGAATGGCTGGCCCCTGGCCCGGCAGGGCAGCCCCCTCCCCAAGCAAGACAACCGGGACGTCCAGGTGCAGAACTGGAGCCTGAGCAGCAGCAGCAGCAGCAGCAAGCCCCTGCTGAAGGCCCACCTGGAGGCCGCCTGGAGCCCCCCGGGAGGCCTCCTCCCGTGGAGGACCACCGCCAGCAGCAGCAGCTGGGCCTGGAAGCCCCTCGAGGTGACCGAGGTGACCGAGGTGACGGAGACGGTCGTGACGGAGATCGTGGAGGTGACCGAGTACCCCGGTGGCGGGGACAAGAGCCAGGAGCCCCTGGTCACCAGGACTGTGAAGGTGCTGACGGCGGCGGCGGAGTGTGCAGGAGGAGCCCGGCCGGAGGTTAATAGCGGGGCCCGAGGAGGAGAGCCTGCAGCAGAAATGTTGTAGCTGAGAGGGGGGGAAAGAGAGAGAGAGAGAGAGAGAGGTCCGTCAGCCAGGAAGGTGGTGGTGAGGTGGGAAGATGAGAATGCTGGCCTACCTGGCAAGGGCATGGTAAGGATCCAGGACAGCTCAGTCCCGCTGGCACTTGCCGCTGGCTCTTGGGTCAGGCAGAAAGGCCAGGCTCTGCCTCCAGGGGCCTCAGTCCCCCTCCACCTCAGCTGCCTTTGCAGGTGGCTCGCTCTGGGCCAGACCAACTCCCCGGGGGGGGGGGGCCTTGAGCGGCAGCCGCCTGCGAGAGTCCCCTCTCCTGGGAAGGCGGGCACCAACCACCGGCCTCCTGCCGCCAGGCCAGGGCCTCCCTTCTTCCCACCCGAGAAGCCGCTCCCTTCCTCCCCCTGCCCCGTGGACCTCTTCCCATCCCCCTGAGTGGAGTGCCAGCCCAGCAGCAGTCCACCGGGGACGCTGGCGGGTGGGCGACTTGCTCCAGGGAGGGGCTCTGCCCGGGCTGGACCCTGCAGCCGTGGCTGCCCCTCCGCGGGCACCTGGGCAGCCACAGCCCTCTGCCAGCCATCCGCGGGGGTGCAGAGTCAGCGCCCAGCTGCGCCTGGCTTTCCCTCACAGCCTGCCGCCGCCTGAGCGGGGTGGGGGGGTGGGGAGATGGAAGAGCCCCGGCCACAAAGGCAGGGAGAGGAGGAGGAGGAGGAGGAGAGCGAGCGAGCGAGCGGGAGAGCAAGAGGGGCGGCCTCTTCTTGGGCCACCAAGCCCTCCGGGTGCCCGGGGCGAGGGGCAAGAGCTCCTCCAGAGGGGAGGCCTGGAGCAGAGCGGATGACACTGTGATGTCCACTGTCCAGGACAAATCCAACACTTTCTCAGTCGCAATCTCAGGCAGGGTTTAATCCAAAAGTACAACGTTTATTCAATCCAGCTATCACCAGATAACACAACGTGTTTCTCCAAACAAATAGAGGACTGATAAAACCCACTCTGCTAATGGCCTGCAGGTGGACATAACAACTCCAAGCGATCTTAAAGATACATTACACCACAGACACACAGTTGCCAGCCTCCAGGTGGGGCCTGGAAACCCCCCGGAATTGCAAGGGATCTCCAGGCGACAGAGAATCACAGAACCGCAGAGTCGGAAGGGGCCTCCAGGGCCATCTAGTCCACCCCCCTCCACAAGGCAGGAAACCCACAAATCCCTCCCCCTCCACACACACACCCCCAGTGGACCCCTGTTCCACACCCAGAAGAGGGCAGGAAACCTCCGGGATCAGTTCCCTCGGAGCAAAGGGCCGGTGCAGAGGACGGAAGCCCCTTCCCTTCCCAAAGCCCACCCTCCCCAGGGTCCCGCCCACCCCAGACCTCCAGGAATCTCCCACCTCAGAGCTGGCGTCCCGAGGCCGCGGGAGGAGCCGTGCGGTGGGGCACGAGGGCAGGGTCCCTCCCAGGGCTGGCCGCTCACCCTCTTTCTCTCTGCAGGCGCTGGCCTTCCTGGGAGACCGGCGGAGCCCCGAGGAGCAGCAGCAGGAGGCCCAGGAGGCTTTGGGGAAGCTGCTCGCCTGGGCCGGGGACCTGGAGGACCTGGTGGCCAACCAGAAAGCCCCCTCCTCGGAGGCCAAGGTGGTGAAGGCCCAGTTGCAGGAGCAGGAGGTGAGCCCCGCCCAGCCCCGCCTGGCCTCTGCGGCTGGCCTCCTCCTCGGGAGGTCTCGTCGGAGGAAGCCCGGCCGCCCCTGGGAGGAGGCCAACGTCTGGCTGGGTGGGTGGGGAGAGCCTCTGCTTGGCCAGGCAGGAGGCCCCCAGCGGGGTCAATGATCCCCCACAAGCCTCTCCAGCTTAAAAAGGACCAGGCCGTGGGGGGGGGTCATCATGGGAAAGGCCCATCATCATCATCATCATCGGCCTGAGAGGGGCCCCCGGAGAGCCGCCTCCAGTCTGAGTAACGGACTGGGGGGGGGGGGCCCCATGCCTTTCACAACTAGGGTACCCAGGTTTTTTTCTCCATATGAGAGCTTGTGTCGTTCCCCCCCCCCCAGCCCCCGGGAGAGGCTGCCGGGGGATTCTTGGTGCAGCACCATCCGTGTGCAGAGCAAAGCTCCCTCTAAGCTGTGGAGTCCTGTGAGCAAAAATTCAACGTTGTGATCTACTGGCACTAAAGATGTGAGTGAGCAATTCGGCTGCTGCATAAATTAGCTTGCTCTGGAGCCCTCCTTCCTTCCTGAGCTGAAACAAAAAATCTGTGAGCCGGAGGCTAAGAAGCTGTGAGCTAGCTCACACCGACTCAGCTGAGAGGGAACACGGATGGCCACACAGGCAGCGCTGAGGAAGGAGGACTCCGGCCCGGGCGTCTTGGGCTTGCGCTGGGGATGGGGATGGGTGGGCGGGGGCCTGCCTGTGTTCCTGGAGACTTTCTAACCTGTGACAGAAGGCACTACTGGGTGCACTGCGAAACAGACACCCAGCCATGTAAATAACAGGAATCTGAAAAGCAGCTATTGGCTCCACAGGACAAGGAGAAGAAAACAGCACTGATGGAAGCCAGCCTGATAGTTCTTTCTCACTGTTTTGCAACTGTATTTGTTTGTTTATTCGATTTCCTAAATTAGATTTGTTGGACTGCCCTTCCCAGCAAGCAGGGACCAAGGCGGCTTTCAACAGATCACAAATAATGCAGTGAAAACAAACATTGAAATGCCCCTATAACGTATCAGGAAATAAAACAACACACTTCCCAAGATGGTGGAAGAGATGTTCAGTTCCCACAAGCCACCTGGCGGGGAGGGGGTTGTGGAGGGTGGGTTGTGCGAGAGAGTGCCAGAGGTTATACTGGCCCATCACTGTCCTCAGTCAAACGCCTGGCAGAACGTCCCTGCCTCGCATGCCAGATCCGGCAGGGCCTGCAGATATCTTCCTGCAGAGAGTCCCACCAGGTAGGGGCCCTAGTTGAGGGCAGCCGGATCTCTCAGGAAGCTCTTATTCCCAGAGCATAGTGCTCCTCCGGGGGCATGCCGAGAGAGGTGGTCCCAAAGGTATGTGGGTCCCTGACCTCTAAAGGCCTTGAATCGGAGGCAGCTTTTTCTGCATACTGTTTTATGTTCTTTCTGGAAACAGACTTGAACTGCGTAGGAAGGAGCAGAACAGAAATGTTTCTGATTCATAAATAAATATTAGACTTGCTGGGAGCTCGGGCAAGGTCAAAGGGGCGTTTTAGCGGCAGTCGCCAAGCCCCCAAGAGACTCTGTGGGGCTCGTAGCCGGAGGCGACAAGTCGTGCTGGCTCCCAGGCAAGAGCCAGGTGGTCTCTGGAGCTCGCACCACCACCACCACCCCCCAAACCCCAAACCAGCCCAGCGGACAGCCTTCGACGTGCAGGAACCGTGTGGGATCCCCGTCGGCAGAGAAAGGAGGCTGCGTAGGATCTATGGAGGGGAACTCAAAGGGGAGGGAGGCAGAGCTAAGGCCCACCCCCCAAGTCCTTTCATGGGCCGTCCCCCACCCCAGCTGAGCTGCAGTGCAGTGTGAGGATGCCGGCCCTGTGCGCGTCCACCCAGCTCGCCGCTGCTTCCCCCGTGGAGACGGCTTTTCCCACTGCTGCGCGGAAGAGGCCAGGGAGACTGAAAATATAATTAAGAAGCTAAAACAGTGGAATAAAATAGAAAATAGAACCAGGTTGAAAGCCACAGGCAGCAATAACACCAGATGGAAAGAGGAGCACCCGCAGCGGTTCTTTGATCCATGGACGGGCTCCAAATGGACGGGGACGGAGCAGCCGGGACGAGGTTCTGGGTCGGATGGAAACATCTCTCCATGCGTGATGGTGGTGGCCAGAAAAGAGAAGCTCCACTCTAGGGATCAGTCAGAAAGGGATTGGAAATAAAATGCCCGGGGCTGGGATGTAGGTCTCTGGTGCGGCTGCATCTGACAACTTGTGAAGGTTTCTGGTCGGCCCCCCTCAGAACCATAGAGCTGGAGAAGGGGAGAGAGCGGCAACCAAAGCGAGCAAGCAGCTGGAATGACTCCCCTGTAAGGAAAGGCCAAAGAGCGAGCGTGGGGCTTTTGGGTTTACAAAAAGAGATGCCTAAGCAGGGTATGACAGAGGCTGATAGGACTATGCATGGGGTGGAGAGGGAGGGAGGACTTGTGCGTCCCGCTCTCACAATGCTACAACTCAGGGGCACCCAGTGAAGTTGATAGACAGGACAATGTGGCGTGTCTCCCTCAGGAAGGCATTTTAGAAGGTGTGTGCTCTCACTGAAAACGCCCCATGACAGAAAGGGATTGGCCACTTGTCTTGTCCTTCGTGGGAAGCAGAAGCATCGCAACACGCGGTGTGTGTGTGTGCGCATGTGTGCAAGCCAGCCAACCTGGTCCTGCAGATCAGCAGCCCCCCCCCCGCCCCCATTGGGCAAGGGGAGCAAAACTGAGGTGTGGGCAGACTTCCCGCGGAGTGAGGGGCAGGCATGTGGCGCTGCCTTATGGGAAGGCTGGGAGACCCTTGAAGGTTAGTCCACAGTATCCAAAGGGCCCCTGTCAGGCGGGCAGCCCCTGGCACTCGGGTGGGGGGCCTGAGGGGAGTCCAGGGGCCAGAGTGCCCTGAGTTCACCTGCCGCTCCACCCTCTCTCCCTCCCGCAGCTCTTGAAGCGGCTTCTGGAGGAGCGCCGAGCCCACGTGGAGAAGCTGCTGCAGGCTGGACAGATGCCCCTCGAGCTGGCCAGCAGGACCGACGGACGCGAAAGGAACGGAGGCCTCGCCGACCTCCGGGAGAAGTGGACAGCCTTAATCCAGGGGGCAGAAGCCAGGTGAGCCCTAAAGGGGGGGCCTCCTCTTGAGCCCGGCCCTCTACATGTCCTGAATCCCTCTTACTCTCCTCCCCAGAAATCTGCTGAAGGTGGCTGGTATGGAAACTATTAGGAGACTTAAAACTAGGAGAAGCGGTCAGAAGCAGTGGCTTAAAACACCCTAAAAAGAGCACGACAGTCGTGCAAAAGCAAACAGAAGCAGCGGCAGCAGCGTGAAGCTGCTTAAATGTCACTTGGCAGCCCCGGAAGCCATGTGGGGCCAGGGGGCTCTCTGGAGCCGACAGAAATTTGGCTGCCGCAGTCAGTACCAGCAGAAGCCTCTCAGCAGCCTTCAAAGGCAGCCCCACGCAGAGTGTGCGGCAGTAGTCTGACCTGGATGTGATCGGAGCCTCAGTGACCGTGGCCTGTCCTTCCTCCTCAAGGAAAACACACAGCTGGTGTACCAGCTGAAGTGGGTACGGGACACTGCATAGATTTAGCTATGCCAGCTCTCACAGCCAGCTGGCAAAACCAGTCTCTTTTGCTCTCATTTGAAAGATGATGACGGAGGGCACAGAGAGAGAGGGAATGAGAGAGAGAGAGACTTGCCCAGAACTACCCCACGAATTGCAGGCTGAGGCCAGCCTTTGATCCCATGGCGGGGGTGGGGTGTTCCCTTCCTTTGCAGCCGTGGTGGCCTTTGAAATCCTTTCACGGGAGTCATTCATGCACTTACTGGCTCTGCTCCGCTTAGCTCAGTTTCAGAGCCCCCCCCCCAATGCCTGTCAGAAGGAGAGGGCCCTTCCCGTTTGGAAGCTCTGCTAGGTGGTTCTGCCAGTGCTCCCCAGCGGGTGGGTCCGGATAGATTGCCGCGCCAGTTCCCGGCCACCGTGGAGCCTCTCACAGCTCAGCTACAGCTTCTGGTGCTTGGGAGAGCCCCAGAGGTGGGGCAGAGGGCCCCTGGCACAGAACTGGGGTCCTGGAGGGGACCCAAGGCTCGTGTTGAGCTTCCAGAGAGCCCGAAGACCAGCCAAGTGGGGAGGGAGAGGGGCAGGTGTGGGCAAGACCGTGGCCAAGAGTGAGCCTTCACCCTGCCAGAGGCAGAAGGAAAGGTAATACCCCCTCCCGAGCACAAGGAAGGGGGAGGCAATTTTGCCATTCGCCCTGAGGGACTGAGCAGTCTCCATTGCACCACAAGCCTCCTTACACCTGGATGCTATCTTGAGCACATGTTGCTGAGACTTCTCGGGAAGAGCCCCAGCCACTGAAACGATTGCAAAGGATGTTTCTAACGGCTTTCATCTTCAAGAACTGCCCGCCTCTAAATCTCCATGTGTATTTTTAAAAATTCATTTTACAAAATTTATATCCCTCCTTTCTGCCCTCACAAGGGCCACCAAGGTGGCTAACAAATTAAAACACACACAATAAACCACACTTTAAAACCATTAAACCCACCCAAAAACGCCATGAAATTAAACCAGAGCAAAAACAGATACAAACAAAAACAATTGCGTGTCATCACCTTTTTCTTTTGCCCTTTCTCAGTCTGTTGTGTTTATATATGTTGTGCACACTTTTTATTTTCTTATTAAACTGCTTTTCATTTTCAGTGCTGTTAGTGCTGTCCCTGTGAGTGACCCATGTCGAACCCTCTGTCTGGTCCACACGTAACCAAGAGTGGCAAGGGGTAGGGGGCGGTGGTAGACCCTACTCCCTTAACAGTGCAGGAGTACCAGATCTCAGTCCACTTGCTAGTGCGTGCAGGAGAAGAGAGAGAAGAAAAGGCCGCGCCGCTCCTTTAAGTGGCCTGCAGCAGAGGGTGCCTGGCCTCAAGCCCTCAGGCAGAAGACATCCTAATAATTGGTTACCAACCTCCAGATTGTGGCTGGAGATCTCCTGGGATTAGGGCTGCTCTCCAGAGATCGATTCCCCTGGAGGAAATGACTGCTCTTGGCACTCTACCTTGCTTAAGTCTCCCCCCCCCCAAAAAAAAAAAATCCCTGCCCCGGCAAGGCTCCATCCCCAAAATCTCCAGGAATTTCCCAACCCAGAACTGGCTACCTTGCCTAATAATTGACTTGATGGTGGCCGTGAGAGAGAGAGAGACTGACTGACTAAATGTGGGAGTAGAGAGATGAAGAGAAAACGCCCAACTGAGTGGGCTGCTCAGGACAGCAGTGGAGCTCAGCAGTGGACAGCAAGTCTGGGAGAGCCGGGGTTGATTCCCCCACTCCTCCTCCACTAGCACCTGCCGGATGACCTTGGGCCAGCCACAGTTCTGTCAAGTTCCTCATCAAAGGCTCCTAAGTAAGCTCAAAAATCATGGGATAGAAGGACAAGTCCTTTTATGGATCAAAAACTGGCTAGTTCATAGAAAACAGAGAGTGAGTGTAGGTGGGCAATTTTCTCAGTGGAGGGTGGTAAGCAGTGGGGTACCGCAGGGATCAGTACTTGGTCCACTGCTTTTTAACTTGTTCATTAATGATTTGGAGATGGGAGTAAGCAGTGAAGTGGCTAAATTTGCGGATGATACAAAGTTGTTCAGGGTGGTGAAAACCAGTGAGGATTGTGAGGCACTCCAAGGGGATCTGTCAAGGATGGGCGAGTGGGCGTCAACATGGCAAATGGGGTTCAATGTGGCCAAGTGCAAGGTGATGCACATTGGAGCCAAAAATCCTAAATATAAATACACATTGATGGGGTCTGAACTGGCAGAGACTGAACAAGAGAGAGATCTTGGAGTTGTAGTGGATAACTCACTGAAAATGTCGAGACAGTGTGTGACTGCAATAAAGAAGGCCAATGCTATGCTGGGAATTATTAGGAAGGGTATTGAAAACAGATCAGCCAATATAATAATGCCCCTATATAAATCAATGGTGAGACCTCATTTGGAATACTGTGTGCAGTTCTGGGCACCACACCTTAAAAAGGATATTATAGCTTTGGAAAAAGTGCAGAAAAGGGCAACTCGAATGATAAAAGGGTTGGAACACTTTCCCTATGAGGAAAGGTTAAAGCGCTTAGGGCTCTTTAGCTTGGAGAAAAGACGACTGAGGGGTGACATGATCGAGGTTTATAAGATTATGCATGGGAAAGAGCAGGTAAAGAAAGAGGTACTTTTCTCCCTTTCTCACAATACAAGAACTCGTGGGCACTCCATGAAACTGCAGAGCGGTCGGGTTAGAACGGATAAAAGGAAGTACTTCTTCACCCAAAGAGTGATTAACACATGGAATTCACTGCCACAGGAAGTGGTGGGTGCTACAAGCATGGACGGCTTCAAAAGGGAATTAGATAAGCATATGGAGCAGAGGTCCATCAGTGGCTATTAGCCACAAGGTATAGCTAGGGGCTCTGGGGCAAGTGATGCTCTTCTTGGTGCTTGGGGGGGGGGGTCAACAGTGGGAGGGCTTCTAATGTCCTGGCCCCACTGCTGGACCTCCTGATGGCACTGGTATTTCTGGCCACTGTGTGACACAGAGTGTTGGACTGGATGGGCCTTTGGCCTGATCCAACATTGGCGTCTCTTATGTTCTTATGTTCTTAAGAGCTGTTCTCTCACGAGCAGTTCTCGAAAAGAGCTCTCTCAGCCCCACCTAGAGCCATAGAGTTGGAAGGGACCTCCAGGGTCACCTAGTCCAGCCCCCCTGCACAATCTCCTCCAGGTTGAAGTCCCACCTCCCTCACGGGGTGTCTGTGGTGGGGAGGGGAAGGGAAAGGAGATTGGAAGCCGCTCTGAGACTCCTTCGGCACAATCCGCTGAGCTGAGTGATTCCCCTGGGGGATGGGATGGGGGGGGGTCCAGCCAGCCCCCCTCCCCCTCGCCGACCCCCCTCTCCTCTCTCTCCTCCCAGGCACAGCCGCTTGGAGCGGATCCTCCCGGCCGCTCAGGCCTTCCAGCAGTCGGCCGAGGCCTTCCAGGACTGGCTGAGCAGCACTGAGCGCCACCTGGCCCAGCTCTGGCACGCCAACGGGGGGAGCCTCAGCCAGGCACGGAGCTCCCACCAGCAGATCCAGGCAAGGGCAGGGGGCAGCCCCAGGGGGTCACCGCAGGAGGCCCTGGGGAGGAATCCCCGGCAGGTCTACAGACTGGCACACGGGCACTGGCGCTGCCGCCCCCCCCCCCCCCCCCCCCCGCCGTGAGGAGAAGCAAGAGGACGGGCGGCTCTGCCTCTCGACTGACAGACTTCCTTCCAGGCCTGGCTCAGCGCCGGTCCATGTGGGCCCCCCTCTGAAGCAGCCCTGGCTGAAAGAGCAGGGGAAAGGGACGGGGGGGGGGAGCATCGGCCCCCGACTGGGGAGAGCTGCTGTAGCCCCCCCTCAGCTTCCTCTGCCTCCCGCAGGAGCTGAGCCGGGAGATCCAGGCCAAGGCGGAGGCGCTGGAGGGGGTCCTGGGCCATGGGCGGCAGCTCCTGGAGATGGTGTCAGGCAAGTGCTCCCGAGGGCCCCCGCCCCGGCCCCAGAGCAGCGGGGGCTTGGGGGGGTAGGACGGCCCTCTGTGCCCTCAGGCCAAGAGGGTGGGTGTGTGTGGGGAGTCTGCCGGCCCCAGCCTGGGCACCAATGTTCCCTCTAAGCTGTGGAGTCTTGTGAGCAAAAATTCTGCTTTGTGAGCTACCAGCATTAAAGTTGTGAGCAGGTGATTTGGCTGCTGCATAAATTAGTTTGCTCTGGAGCCCTCCTTCCCGAGCGAAGACAGAAATCTGTGAGCCGGAGGCTAAAAAAATGTGAGCTAGCTCACACTAACTCAGCTTAGAGGGAACATTGCTGGGCACTCCGTGGCACGTGAATCCGCTCCCTCCGGAGAAGGGATGCCTCCGTTCAGGCTCCGTTCAGGCTCACACAGCACCCGGGTGTGTGTGTGGGGGGCTTTCTGTCCTGAGAACACCCACACCCCCCCCCCCCGCGCCCCCCCCACACACCCACACACACCACGCCGCCCCGCCACCCTCTGCGGGTGAGACCAGGGGACTGGCCTGCCACGGAAGCCCCCCCGCAGGGAGGGCGCGATCGAGCCACGGG